CACAAAGCAAAGAAGCAGAGATGTCAGTACTAGATCTACCAGTGAGTCTAACTCTTTGGTAGAACATGACAATTATTATTTTTTAAATTTCACATTTGGCTGCTTTTGTTAGCCTTTCGCGGCCAGGAGCTGGTGTCATAATCGAGGTCACGATCTGATTATAGGACGGGAAAAAGTCGAGGGGAAAAAAAACAAGCACAAGCAGCAGTCAAGAGATTATTAAGAGTTAGTTCCCCTCACATTTGTGAGGTAGACTCGACCAGTGTTAGTTAGTTTACTTAATCAGGGCTTGTGATTGATTTTAACTGTGGCCCCAAAGGGGTGAACAGGGTATATGTGGCAATGAAACAGTTTTGACTGCCATGCACATGTTCCCTTCAACTCTATTCCCGCCTCACTTTAACTTTAAGCTTACTTAATCAAAGCTTGCGACTGCTTATGGAGTGGCCCGAGAGGGGTGAGGAGGCTATTTCTGTGGCCGTGAAACCGTTTTGAATGTTAGGCATACTGTTCGTTGTTGGTTACGAACGTCTTTTTACATTTAATTTATGAGGTTTTCGTTTAAGGATGAATTTGACAGCGACAATGTTTCAAAGTTAGAAAGGGAAGCAGTGATTATTTGATTATATAGACGCTTCGCCCCTGTATGTGTGTGTGTGTGTGTGTGTGTGTGTGTGTGTGTGTGTGTGTGTGTGTGTATTTATTCATTTTAGTTTTTTAGTTTTAGTAGAAATTTTACGGTGCTCGCTACTGTATAAGGTCATAATGAGCGCCAAAGGGTGGATGTCAACAGAGAAGTCCTTACAGAGAATCAGACTTACTCTGCTCACCTCTCTAGCTTCAACAGCACAAAGTGTGCTTTGACTATCAAGACACCCGGAAATAGCGGGTCACAAGAGAGTGGCAAACATACAAAAGAAATAGAGGAAAATTGACGATAGTAAGGGTGAGGAATCAAAAAGCAGCAGTTCCCTGTTGCAATTCCGGCATTGTTATGAGCATGACATCGATGAATCAACCCATTTACAATTTTATCGTTCATCAGAACATAATAATGCCCCCCCCCTTTGGGAATGGCATAAAGACAGTAAGTCAGTAGCGCCGCCCCTGGAGTAATATGTGTGTGTGTGTATATATATATATATATATATATATAATATTATGTCGTTTTTATCCCTCACTCATTATCTATCTCTCAATCATTTTCACTTCCTCTACATCTATCACGACCCTATTCTCCACGTTGTGAGTTGGTTGGCAGGTGCTCTGGTGTGGTTTGCTTTTTTTTTTTTCCTATCAAACATCTATCGTCCTTATCCCCCCTTCTTCTTTTTTATGTTTGTTACTATCTTACTTGTAACACCTCTAATCTTCTGGCGCTCATATGACCTTATGCAGTTGCGAGCGCCGTAAAACCTCACCTAAAACAAAACTATTCTCCACGTACGCACGCTCACGCACTTACACGCACGCATATTCACACTTTTATCTGAGTGTATGGTCGCCCTTTGTACTTTGTGATAAGACCTGTCAACCTCAGAAGAGTAAATTTTAAAGGAACAGCTAAAATAATGGTTTCATCACACAGCAGCCTAGGGTGGCAAACGGGTTGTTCGGCTTTAGGAGCATCTAATCAAAATCAGATTTGTCATTGGGCAAGCGCGCGACGGCACATTCAGAATAGATCCTGAGCTTATCAAAACGTCACGTTCCGATTAGCCCCATGTTATTTGAAACACCAATATAGTAGCCATTGTTTCTACATATTGTAGGCATGGTTATGCCTGAATTGTGGAAGCTTTTTCAGTGTCTTGATAAACCTCCTAGGATTTTACTCCAATTTTTATGACGTTGTCTTATTCCGATCAATATTGGGTAGATCTAGAACACAGAATTCTAAGTGTAGAATTCTGTGATCTAGAATTAGATATCTAGATATTACAGTTGTCTCTGACATTTTTCGCCTCTCCACGTGACGCTACTGGGCGGGGCGGGATGTGGGACCGGCAGCCCGCTGGACCATTATTCGTTGTTTACACGTTTAACGATGGCAGGCCTCTCACTCTCTACCTACACACAATAAATTATGGTTCAAGGAACAGAGAGCGTGTACAAACGTAACGAGACACAAACAAGAGACAATAAATGCTCTTGCACGACGGTAGAAGGGTTGTAAATTATTCAGATAAAAAATGGGCGAGGGCGTTAAATCGTGTTAATTTAACTAGTTTAATTAAACAATTCAAGCTCTATTTCTTCACTTTCATTTCTTTTTCTTTTATTCTTTCTTTTTCTTTTCTACTTGCCTCTTCTTTTTCCTTCTTCTTGAACATTTGGAGTTTAAAATTGGGGGCAAAAAAGAGCCAGAGAGCCAAATGAAATTCTCAGGGCCAGACACGATCCAAAAGAGCCAAATTTCTGGGATTTGGCTTCAAACTGACAACCCTGACTGTGACTATTCGGTCACGAACAGGATGCTGTGGAGCATCCCTGACCCCCC